TGAAATGTAAAACAGAAAAGACTGAAGCAAGAAGGGGGCAGGCGTTTGGTGCAGTGGTCAGCTGCTGCTTGAGATGCCCACATTCTACATCAGACTCTCTGGTTTGAATGCCACCTCTGACTCCAGCTTCCTGTAATGTGCACCCTGGGAGGCAGCAGCTCAAGTAGTTGCAGCTGGGTTCCTGCCAGCTGCACAGCAGACTCAGAGTTGGTTCCAGGTACCTCGCTTTGGCCTGGCCCAGCCCTGGCTGTTGTGGACATTTGGGGAGTTAACTGGTGAACAGAAGATCTCCCTTCATCAATTTATCTGTCTCATGCTGCCTTTCAAATAAAATGAAAACAAATAAAGAAATAAATCTCAAAAAAAAAAAAAAAATAGGAAAGCACTCTGTAATTGGGATGTAGTCTAGCAACAAAAAAGGACTTCAAAGACATATTGAACTTTCCAGATGGTTTGTTATTGGTGGTTTGTTATTGGTGGTGGTATTCCTATAATTCTGAAACTACTTTTGTGTGTAACACATGATAGGACAAATAAATATACCGACGTTGGGAACCAGGTTATTCACTGTGTGGGAAAGCAATGCAAAATGGAATACCCTTGGGGTGCTGGATTTGAATTCGAGGTACTGGTATGAACTAAGGATCTTTTTTTTTTTTTTTTTTTTTAAACTACACACATACAGGGACCAACGCTGTGTGTGGCACAGTGGGTTAACACCCTGGCCTGAAGCACCAGCATTCATATGGGTGCTGGTTCGAGAACCAGCTGCTCTACTTCCGATCCAACTCTCTGCTATGGCCTGGGAAGGCAGTGGAAGACGGCCTAAGTCCTTGGGCCCCTGCACCACGTGGGAGACCTGGAAGAAGCTCCTGGCTCCTGGCTTCAGACTGGCACAACTCCAGCCGTTGCAGCTAACTGGGGAGTGAATCAGTGGATGGAAGACCTCTCTTCTCTCTGCCTCTCCTTCTCTCTCTGTGTAACTCTGACTTTCAAACAAATAAATAAATCTTAAAAAAAAAAAAAAAAAGACACACACACACACACACACACACACTTATTTCTCAGTTCCATCTACTAAACAGATCTAGGAGCAATGATACCCATAGTAGTAAGCACATCCACTGCCCAGACCGTGGCTTCATTGAAATGAACCAGGGTTCCTTGGAGAAACTACAGGTGCAAGGAAAGCACAAGGCGAGCCTTAAGAACATCTCACGCCAGAAGGCAAGGAAACGCTCCACCTCTCACGGGGACGTGTTAACAGTATGCTGGACTGCGTTTGAAAAGCTCTTACTGCCCAAATTTGGATATTTTGTTTTTGAGCATCAAAAACACAAAACACAAAACAAAAAAAAGTGGAACTAAGGCACTATTACCATACTGACTTTTTAAACATTCTGTTAGTCCATAGTGGCACACACACATAAAAATGGGGTAGAGGGACCAAGAAGTATTCTTTACAGAGAATGCTATCAATCCTTTAGAAGCGATGCATAGATTAGAAAATCATCATTTTGCAGCCAGAAATATAACAAAGCAAGGATCATCAATGAATGCTAAAGTTATTGAGGAATGGAATAGTAATGTGGCCCCAGTTATCCCTCTGTAGATTACTTATTAATTACAAAGAAAACAATGCAGTTTTAAAGAGGGAACGATCCTGGGACACCAGGTTAATCACAAAGAGCATGCTGGGTGATGAGACAAAGTGGTATCATGTGCCTCTGAGAGCATGCAATGCAAAGTAACGTCACCTTCGGACAGTCCTGGCAAAAATGTTTAATCTGAATCTAGCTACGATGAAATAAACAGGCAAATGCAGATGTGGGTCACTCTTTATAAGCTTGGCCTGGATCCTTCAAAACTGGCAGTATCATGGAAGATTAATACAAGAAAGAGAAAGAAGAAAAGGCTTAAGAGTGGTTCTATTTTAAGAGACTAAAGACTTGAGGAGTAAGTGGAACATGTAGGCTGAATAGTCTGGATAGGGACAAAAGCATCTGTAGAAGGTATTTTTGGGACACCTGGGAAAATGTGAATATTTGACTATACATATGATGACATTATTGCATAAATGTTAAGTATCTGGAGAATGGTTTTGTGCTTAGATAGGAGAAGGTCAAATTCTTAAGCTATTTAGAGATGAGATGTCACGGTGACTACAACATCTTTTTTTTTTTTTTTTTTTTTTTACAGATTTATTTACTTGACAGGTAGAGTTACAGATAGACAGAGGGAGACAGAGAGAAAGGTCTTCCATCCACTGGTTCACTCCCCAAATGGCTGCAATGGCCAGAACTAGGCCAACCTGAAGCCAGCAGCCAGAGCTTCCCACACGGGTGCAGGGGCCGAAGCATTTAGGCCATCTTTTACTGCTTTCCCAGGCCATAGCAGAGAGCTAGATTGGAGGAGGAACAGCCAGGACTAGAAATGGAACCCACATAGGATGTGGGCACTGCAGTCAGAGGCTTAGCCCACTATGCCACAGTGCTGGCCCCTGCAACAAATTTCTAAATGCTTCAATGTAAAAACAAAGTGTGTGTGTAAAGAGATATAGCAAAAGTGGCCAAGAAGTGACAATTAGTGATTACAAGTGAAGGGTATACAGGTGTTCAATATACTGTAATCATGAGTTTTCAAAGGAAGTTGTGGAAGATAGGAAAAAAAGGAACAGAGACTACCAGGTTAAGCCACTGCCTGCAATGCTAGCGTCCCATGTGAGCACCAGTTTGAGTCCTGGCTGCTCCAGTTCTGATCCAGTTCCCTGCTAATGCGCCCAGGAAAGCAGTGGAAGATGGCCCAAGTCCTTGGGCCCCTGCACCTACATGGGAGACCTGGATGAAGCTCCTGGCCTGGGCTTGTCCCAGTCCCAGCCATAGAGGTCAACTGAGGAGTGAGCCACCAGACAGAAGTTCACACTCTCTATCTCTCCCTGTCTCTCTCTCTAACTTTACCATTCAAATAAACAAAATAATCTTATTTTAAAAAATAAAAAGGGACGCTGGCGCTCTGGCATAGCAGGTTGTCGCTCCCCGTCTTCGTGGAGGAACGACACAGGACCCTGCGCTGTTCTCCTGTCTGCTCGGCCCTCCCCGGGTTTGCTGCTGGTTCTTCCCGGGTTGGCTACCGTCCCTTCCACCTCCGTGGAAGGGCGGTTCCCCCTGCCACATTCCCCACTTCCGCAGGGGAGCGGCACACCGCCGGCCGGCTCTCTCGGGGGCTGCACAGGTGTTCCCCTTAGATGTTCCTGGTGCATGCCGTCTCTCTCCTCCTTTATAGTCCTCCTCCGCCAATCCTAACTCGGCTGCCCCACACGCCGAGTACGCTGCTCTCCAATCAGGAGCAGGTCCTACAGTTTATTGGTTGAACTGGAGGCAGCTGTGTAGAAGCTGTTTTCTTCTCTCCCAGCGCCATATTGTGGGAGAGCAGATGCATAGAATAAGTCTTAATTCCAGTAACTTAGTCTAGTCCGAGTTGCTCCCCACAGCAGGTGAAGCTGTTGCCTGCAGTGCTGGCATCCCATATGGGCGCCAGTTTGAGTCCTGGCTGCTCTACTTCCAATCCAGCTTTCTTCAGTAGCCTAGGAAAGCAGTAGAAGATGGCCCAAGTCCTTGGGTACCTGCACCCGCCAGGTAGACCTGGAAGAAGTTCCTGGCTCCTGGCTTCAGATCGGCACGGCTCTGGATGTTGCGGCCAATTGGGGAGTGAACCAGTGGATGGAAGACCTCTGTCTCTCTCTCTCTGCCTCTCCTTCTCTCTCTGTGTAACTCTGACTTTCAAATAAATAAATAAATCTTAAAAAAAAAAAAAAAGGAATGCAAACTAAATAGTCCATCAATTAAGGAAGAGGTTCAATAAATTATGAATCATGATAAAATATTATGTACATATTTAAAAAAGGAACGAGGAAGCTTTTTACATACTCACTGGGACCACTTTTTCAAGGTATAGTTAAAATATACCTTGAAAATACAAAGTACAGTAAAATTTCTAATAAACAAGGCACAAAGTGGTATGCATAGCATGCTACCACTTACAATAAAAATATGGAGAAAACCTTTTTTTTAAATGTTTATATTATGTCCAAAAAAATCCCAAAGAAAATACTATACTAAAACCAAACCAAAATAAAGCCTGGATCAACTGTTTATGCTGATTAGAGTTTACTGCCTGACTGCTACTTACCTGAGGGGACAAGCCTCTGCAGGAAACAGTGGTTCACGGGCTGATCTAGTGACAGGCTGCATTTTTGGGGAGAGGTAGGAACTAGGTTGAAGGTGGGATGCAGGCAGGAGACTTTTGACTATATTTAAAAATTTTCAGTGAACAGAATAAAAGAAACTCAAGGGGCAGAAGCTGTGGCACAGCGGGTTAAGCCACTGCTTGGGAGGTCTGCACTGCATTATCAGAGTGCTGGATCAAGTCCTGGCTGCCCCACTTCCAATCTAGCTTCCTGCTAATGCACCTGGGAAAGCAGAAGACAGCCCTAGTACCTGGGCCCCTGCCACTCACGTGGGAGAGTTCCTGGATGGATTTCCTGGCTCCTGGCTTCAGCCTGGCCCGGACCTGGCTATTACAGGCATTTGCGGATTGAGCCAGTGGACAGATTGAGCCTCTTTTTCTGTCACACTTTCAAATAACTGAATCTTAAAAATAGACCAAAAACGGTGGTGGTTTGAAATTTAAAATTTTAGGGGAGATTCATGTGTGTTTAAATATAAAGAGGGGAGACTGGCACAATGAAAACCCTGCTGTAGCTCTAGGAGCTGGGGGCCAGGGTTCACGTAGAGCACACCACGGGAAGAGACAAGGGAGACAGGTGCAGAGACGCTGTTGGAAACACCCTTCCTGAGCCGGCCTCTGCAAGCAACCATGCCAAACAGCTCGGGGTTCCTGACAGGCTGCGGTGCCTGGCAGCGAGGGACTTGGCAGATTTCAGCACAGTGAGGATTTGGACTCTGCAGCACAAAGCAGCTCGAGGGCTGTTTTTCTCTCACCTTGGCTAGGGCCTTCTAAAATTTCTTTTATCACCATCCACGGTTCTTCCAGTATGGGAATCACGGTTGGCCTGTACACGGTGAGTCCTGTTCAGGAGGAAGATCGTGACTGTTACGCTGGGATAAAGACTTGCTCAGAGCTTATTAGCTGACTTCTACTTGGCCCTCGACAGGAGAACAATGGCTTGTGGACAGGACCTAGTAAGAGTTCAGAGCTGGGATAAGAATTTCCTGCCACCCGAGAGGATCTGTGCCTGGAGACCCTGGGGGAAGAGTCTTTCCCTCAGGGCCGCAGGGACAGGCCAGGCAGTGATGGTGGCAGCACCGTAACGCTGGACATCACGGTTTTTAATGACTTTTCATTTGGAAAATGAGGGTAGATCAGAGCCAATTTTGTGCCCAGAACACTCATCTTTAGCCCCAATTTTAGCCAGGTACTTCAGAGAGCCAACCCAGTTTTAACTACTGGGAGAAGGAAAGTACTCCAGTGGGCACGCTGGGAGGAGCCGGGATGTAAACAGTTCTTACCCAGAGAAACCATGTTCCAATAGTTCTGTAAGGTCACTGTCTTGTACAGTTCCTTCTGTACAGGACGCATCAGCGCCCAGTCCTCCTGGGTGATGTCCACAGCCACATCTGTGAATGTCATTGATTCCTAAAACGGCAAATAAAGTGGATTCAAGAACTAGTGGGACGGGGAAGAGTGATAACGCTGGGTACATGCGTGGCAGGAGGAAGAATCTTCAGGATCCTAAAAGTTGCCTAGTCAAGACCCTCATGCAGAAGCAGGCATTTGGCTTAGCAGGATGCCTGCATCCCACACTGGAGTGGCTGGGGTTTGACTCCTGGCTCTGGCTCCTGACTCCAGCTTCCTGCCAGTGTGGATGCTGGGAGTCAGTAGTGATGGCTTAAGTAATAGGGCTTCTGCCTCCCATGTGGGAGACCTGGATTGTTTCTGGCTCTTGGCTTTGGCCTATTGCAGGCATTTGGGGAGTGAACCAGTGGATCAGAGTTCTCTCAGTCTGTCTTTGTCTGCTTGCCTTTCAAAATAAAACTCAAACCCTCACTCAACACATGGGTGTCCAGGGGCTGGTGCTGTGGCATAGCAGGTAAAGCCGCCACCTGCAGTGCTGGCATCCCATTTGGGCACCAGTTTAAGTACTGACTGTTCCACTTCCGATCCAGCTCTCTGCTATCACCTGGGAAAGCAGTGGAAGGTGGTCCAAGTGCTTGGGCCCCTGCACCCACGTGGGAAACCTGGAAGAAGCTCCTGGCTCCTGGCTTTGGATTGGCCCAACTCCAGTCATTGTGGCCAATTGGGGAGTGAGCCTGTGGATGGAAGACCTCTCTCTCTCTCTCTCTCTCTTTCTGCGTCTCTGTAACTCTGCCTTTCAAATAAATAAATAAATCTTTAAAAAACAACAATAAAAAACCACATGAGTGTCCTTCCAGCATCTCAGTGGTCCTAAAAGGAAATTTGAAAACAGAGTTTATTGCTTTCAGCTGGTACTAGTGCAGGTATTCATGGCTCTGACTTAAAAGAGAAAGAGTTGTCACCATAGGTGAGAGACTGATTTTGCTTTTCAAGCTTCTTCATGAAAACAAATCCAACATGTTATAACTTAAAGTTTACATGCTCTATAATGAACCAGAGTCTCTCATTCCTTTTTAAATAAAGCTAGAACCAATAACCACACTATTGAACTACCAGAGTTTCAGGTGCACTTTCATACTCTGGTAAGGTTAGTTTCCCCTTTTGTTCTTTTTTTTCCTCTTGTTAAAAAAATTCTTGATGATTCTTTTTATTTGTTGCTTTTAAATTTATTTATTTACTTGAAACTCAAGAGTTACACAGAGAGAGAAGGCAGAGGTAGAGGTCTCTCATCGCTGGTTTACTCCCCAGTTGGCTGCAATGGCCGGAGCTGTTCAGATCAGAAGCCAGGAGCCAGGAGCTTCTTCCGGGTCTCCCATGTGGGTGCAGGGGCCCAAGCACTTGGGCCATCCTCCACTGCTTTCCCAGGCCACAGCAGAGAGCTGGATCAGAAGAGGAGCTTCCAGGTCTCGAACCTGCACCTATATGGGATGCCATCACTGCAGGCAGCAGCTTTACCGGCTACGCCACAGCACTAGCCCTTCTTGATGATTTTTACATGCTTTTTTTCAATTACTTCTCAATATTTTTAAAAAATTATATTTGGATTTTAAGGTCATATTGACCAGCACTATGGCTCACTAGGCTAATCCTCCGCCTGCAGCGCTGGCACCCCGGGTTCTAGTCCTGGTTGGGGCACCGGATTCTGTCCTCCCGGTTGCCCCTCTTCCAGTCCAGCTCTCTGCTGTGGCCCGGGAGGGCAGTGGAGGATGGCCCAGGTCCTTGGGCCCTGCACCTGCATGGGAGACCAGGTGGAAGCACCTGGCTCCTGGCTTCAGATCAGCGCAGTGCGCCGGCAACGCACCAACAGAAAAAGGAAGACCTTTCTCTCTCTCCCTCTCTAACTCTGCCTGTCAAAAAAAAAAAAAAAAAAAAAAAAAAAAGGTCATATTAATTCTATAGATAAAACTGACAGTTTTACAATATTCAGGTTTTCAAGAAAAGTTGTATCAAAGGAATGCAAAGGAAGGCCATTTTTTATATAGCACATTCACCTACCTTAGCAGGCCAAGCTAACTAAGAGGAGAAACTAAGACTCAGGTCTTATAGGGTTTTGGGGACACAGTAGTTCAGAAGACATGTTGAGAACACCAAAGAAATTCATACTCACTTTGGTCTCCAGATCATTTAGCCAGCCTGCCCGGAAAGCAGGTCTTCCTTTGGGGTCTTCTTCTGGGGTTTCTTGGGAAAGGGCAGAGTTCTGAGGAGCTAAGGAAGAGAATGAGATCAGGATGGTTAGCCCTGTTGGAAAAGCCTAGGAAAGTGTTCATTGCTCAGACCCCTACACTTTCTTAAAGTAAGGTGAGGAGAACCAGAAACAGTACCCATCCTTCTAAAATCAGTGGGAAGACCAGTGGCTTGCCCTTAGATTTCTTTTTTTTTTTCAGGCAGAGTAGACAGTGAGAGAGAGAGACATAGAGAAGATCTTCCTTTGCCGTTGGTTCACCCTCCAATGGCTGCCGCGGCCAGCGCGCTGCGGCCGGCGCACCACGCTGATCCGAAGCCAGGAGCCAGGTGCTTCTCCTGGTCTCCCATGGGGTGCAGGGCCCAAGCACTTGGGCCATCCTCCACCGCACTCCTGGGCCACAGCAGAGAGCTGGCCTGGAAGAGGGGCAACCGGGACAGAATCCGGTGCTCCGATCGGGACTAGAACCTGGTGTGCCCGTGCCACAAGGCGGAGGATTAGCCTAGTGAGCCGCGGCGCCGGCAGTTGTCCTTAGATTTCAATGCCAACGTCAAAAACAAGTCTGGAGGCCAGTGCTGTGGCGCAGTGGGTTAAAGCCCTGGCCTGAAGTGCCGGCATCCTCTTCTGATCCAGCTCTCTGCTATGGCCTGGGAAAGCAGTAGAAGATGGCCCAAGTCCTTGGGCCCCTGCACCCACGTGGGAGACCTAGAAGAAGCTCCTGACTCCTGGCTTCAGATCGCCACAGCTCCGGCCGTTGCGGCCATCTGGGGAGTGAACCAGTGGATGGAAGACCTCTCTGTCTCTCCCTCTCTCTGTAACTCTTTCAAATAAATGAAAAATAAATCTTAAACAAGTCTGCTTGGGGACTCTTATGGACATGGGCACAACTCACAATTTCCTACAAAATTCTTACATGTGATAAAATTTGTGAGTTGGCTCTTTTCTTAAAAAAGGAATATTCTTTGGAAACACGTTATTGCAAAGACCAATTCACAGAGCAAATGATGAATAGAATAGTGCAAACCTCTCCAGGTTAACTTCCTGCGGGCTCATCCAGGTAATGACCAGTAATTTGGTCATTCTCGTATGACATTTCTCCTCTGGGTGGAGGTGATGTGTTTGGTCTCAGTCTGGAAGGGGAGCTGATGTTAAGAGGCCTGGTTCTGACGCACAGACTGACTTTGGCTCTTCCCAGATTCTTTAGCGTCCCCGTTGTCCCTTCTAACCACCCAGGACTCCTCCCGTCTGCTCTACAACTCTCACCTTCCTCTTCCAGAAGCTGAGTCAAGTCCTCCACCAGAGTCACCGCCTCCTCGCTGCTCTCTGGGTACTGGGATTTCACCCACGTCCTGACCTCCCCGGGCAGGATGGTCAGGAACTGCTCCAGCACCAGCAGCTCCAGGATTTGTTCCTTGGAGTGAATCTCAGGCCTCAGCCACTTCAGGCAGAGCTCTCGGAGTTGACTCAATGCCTTTCGAGGTCCGGCCAGGTCCGGGTACGGAAAATTCCGAAAATTCTGCCGGCAGGTCTCAGTGTCACGCAAGAGCCTTGAGGTGAGGGTTTGCTTCTCAACATGGCGGGACCCACTCTGGGCCTTGTCTGGCTTCCACATGAGAAGGATTTGAGAACGCGAACTGGCCGTCCTCTTGCTTGAAGCGAACATGGCTACAGACAGGAGGTATGCTCTGGCAATGTCCTTTAATTCTCCAGGAGTGAGCCAGTTGCTTGAAGTCTCATGCTAGAGCCATGAGGACATGATATCGAGGGCTGCTGCACCCAGGGGCAGAACAGAATCAAGGCCAAGTTGGCAGCCTTAGGAACAGATTCTGAGCCCAGAACCGGGATGGGGAAGGGATCCTGAAACACAAGAATGGACCACACAGTCAAGGTGCATCCTGCTATACAAATGTATGCACAGAAAAGACTTCCCAGTGTGCACAGCCTTAGACTGATGAGGGCTATCTGCTTGCTGATGGCAGTGGAGAAGTGCAGCTGCCTTAAAGACGGGGGCAGAAGCAGTTTTTCAAAGAATCACGAGCAAAAACGACAGATCGAATTTCTAATGGAAACGACGATTAAACACTTTGACAGGAGAAAGACACATGTGAGTCGCTGATGTTACAGAAACTGTGAGGACTGGGGTAGGCTCTCAACCAGCCACACAGGCACATCTTTCTTTACTCGGAACACCTGGGGAGGGGGCTGTCTTCTAAGGCAAGCAGGCGCTCAAGGTTTCCAAGGGAACCGTCGGGTAACAGGGGCGGGCCATTTATCTGCTTTGTATGTCAAGGCCAGGGAATGCCAGGCTTACCCGATCCTGGGAGGCCTGGGAGGGGGAGCCGGTTGGACCGGAATGCAGATGGAGGGGTGGGTGTGACTGCTGAGGCCCTTTAAGGGCTTCTCCAGGGGAGACCCAGTCCGAAAAACACCATTCCAGAACAAGACCTCAGAAACGGACCCGATCAGGCGAAGCAAGCGACACCCCCTGACCCCGTCTCCTGCTCCACCAATCGTGTCACTCAACCCCAGTGTTCACGAGGCCCTGCGGGGGCGATGCGGCGGCCTGGCCTCACCCGCCCCGAGCCCGGCCTCTCCCCTTCCGGGCGGTCCCTTTTACTGCTCTCCCGCCCGAGGGTCGAGGGCCGCGGGGGAGTCGGGGAGCCCACGACGCGCAAGGCTGGGACTAGGCCCCCGCACAACAGTCTCCACCCCGTCCTCGCCCTCCGCGCAGGCCGCGAGCTGCAGCCGCCGCTAGGGTGGACGGGCTCGGGCTCCGGGTCCGACCGCGCGGGACGCCGGCGCCCGCCGCCCGGGGACATCGTTACCTGTAGCTGGGACCCAGCCACCGCTCAGCCGGAGCGACCCGAGAGGCCCCGGGCAACAATGGCGGCGGCGTCGCGGTCGCCTGCGTGGCGGGCTCGGTCCCGCTCTGCCGAGGGCCCTCTGGCTCCGCCACTTCCCTTCCCTCAGATAGCACAAGGTGGCTGGGCCGCTAACCGCACGTCCCAGCCAGGTCCTCACAAGCCGGCCCGGAACCCTCCCCCCCCTTCGCGCGCGCCTCCGCTACGCTGCGACCTCGCCTCGGCGCCACTGCGCATGTGCGCCAGGGGAACGCTGCGCGCCCGCACAGCCAATCGGAGGCCGAGCTCCGGCCCCCCCTCCCACCTCCGCCCTCCGGAGCCTCTGGCCCTGGACCTGTCTCCATGGCAACCTCCTCCACCCATCACTATGACTTGCTTGTTGAACCTGCAAGGCTCTGAAGCCAACTTCAAAGTTTCGCCAGGGCAGAGACAGGTCTGGTAGACAACTTGGCGGTCCCAGAAGCTAGGGCAGCCCTTGGGAGTTGAAGCCCCGCGCCGATTACCCAGAGGAAACTGGATGTCAGAATAATTGGAGTGGGAAGACGCGAGTCTAAAGGCAGAAAGACCTGAGGTGCTGGTTCAGGACTTACTTGGCGTAAACATTCACTGTTAAAGGTTCGGCGTGTCTCCTCAGACTCAGATGGAAGAGTAATATAAGACACAAAACGAAAATCCGTAAAATTCGGGAAAATAAGAGGATAGGTAAAACATTTCAGTTGTTTCTACTATCTGTTCTGTTAACAAACACCTCAGAACAATCATTTTATTGTGTTCTTGGATTCTGTGGGGAGGAGCTCTTCTCTGCCCCATTTTGTTTGTAGCCTCGGTTGAGATGATCTGATGGCTGTGTTTACTTCCAAGATGGAGTTTTTGCTCACATGTCTCGTACCTGGATTGAGATGGCTTACAGACGAGTTCAGCTTGGATTTCACAGGAGTGCCTAAATATCTGAAGCAGGAAAAACTCGGGGTAGCTGGATTTGTTACAAGGCGACTCTGGGATTCCAAAGTGAGTAGTTCAGTGAGCAAGGGGGACACCCGTGGCTGATTATGACATAGCCTTGGAAGTCACGTGACACCATTACTCTCCCACTCTTGGTCAAAGGAATTACATAGCAAGTCTGCATTTAGACTTAGATATAGAAACAGATACAGACAGAAGCCTTTTGTTTGTAATAAAACCAGTGCCCATCTAAGGATATACCTTTTCTTTCCCTCCTGGCTACTAGACCAATAACTAGGGTCAAGTTAACATAAACCCAAACAGGGGAGATTCTAGGCCCGACAAGGGAGGAAAAGGACTATCCCCTGAGGTTGCTGCAGGCTGTAACCTTTAGGTGTTGGTAGGAACCAGAGTAGTGTCTATGGTTCTTGATCCTGAGGCTGCCAGTCCAAGGAGGGCAGAATTTACAGTGCTGTTTAGGGGACTTCATTGAAAAGGAGCACCGCCCCATAGTACGTGATTGGAACACTCTGCCAAGGATGTCAGGGGTGAAACTTTTGGAGGACTGAATGGCTCAAACTCACAGAAACACCAGAACTGTTGACAAAAGGTAAAAGAAAGGATACAAAGGCTCAGAAAACTGGACATACCCTGCTTTTCAAATAAATAAGTCTTTTAAAAAATAAATCTTTTTTAAAAAAAGCTATGGAGAATATTAATAGAACATAATCTCTCTACAACAAGGTCTATGGGAAGACAACAGGAGCACTGATCAACCTATACAATAAAATCAAATAAAGGATGCATGAACAAGAAACCAAGGCTAATAAAACAGTCTTGGGGCTAGCATTGTGGCATAGCTGGTTAAGTCACTGTCTGTGGCTCCAGTTCAAGTCCCAGCTGCTCCACTTCCAATCCAGCTTCCTGCTAATGGTCTGGGAAAAGCAGAAGAAGATAGCCCAAGTACTTGGGCCCCTGTACCAGAAGGGAGACCCAAATAAAGCTCTTGGCTACTGGCTTTGGCCTGGCCCAGCCCCAGCCATTGCAGTCATTTGGAGAGTGAACCAGCATCCCATATGGGCACCAGTTCAGTCCCAGCTGCTCCACTTCCCACCCAGCTCTCTACTATGGCCTGGGAAAGCTGTAGAAGATGAACCAAGTCCTTGGGCCCCTGAACCCACGTGGGAGATCCCGAAGAGGCTCCTGGCTCCTGGTTTCAGATTGGCGCAGCTCTGACTGTTGTGGTCAGTTGGGGAGTGAATCAGCGGATGGAAGACCTCTCTTTCTCTCTGGCTCTACCTCTCTCTGTAACTCTGGATTTCAAAAAAACAGAAAAAAAAATTTTTTTTATAAAGACGACCATTTGATGAGTATTGTCCTGTGTGAACCCATCACCCCACTTAGGTTGTGAACAGCCACATTGGTGACCCTGAAAAGCATCCTCCCGGCCTTTGCGGTCGCCCTCCGCCCACCTCCCTCACTGAGTGACCAATCATCTGCTCTGCTGCTGTTGATTAGGCTGCGTTTGCTGGGGGTTTAAAAGAATCGGTCTCACCACACAGCACACAGTGTTTTTGCCTGGCCCCTATCACTCAGCATTGATTCTTTTGAGATTTATCTGTGCAGTTTCTGTGTCTGTGGTTCAGCCCGGCACGGCTGAACCATCTGAATTCATCTGCTAATGACCCCTGCATTGTTTTCAGTTATTGTGTATTGGAAATAAGCTCCTATGGATATTCCTGAAATAGTCATTTTATGGCCATAGGTTGTTATTTTCCGTAGTGTGGGATGGCTGGGTCATTCATTCCCAAGCAGCCACAACACCCCAGGCTGGGCCAGGCTGAAGCCAGGAGCCTGAAACGTCATCAGTTCTCTTACGTGGAGGGAGGGGCCCAAGCACCTGGGCCATCTTCTGCTGCTTTCCCAGGCACTTTAACAGGGAGCTGGATCAGAAGTGGAGCAGCTGGGACTTGAACCACTGACTATATGGATGCTGGCACAATAGTCAGCAGCTTAACCCACTGTGCCACAACACCAGCCCTCTATCTTCAACTTTCAAAGACATTTTCAAGCTGTTTCCCAAAGTGACTGTATCATTTTGGAGTCCCACTAACAGTACATGGGCTATCCTGTTCCTCCTGTGTAGAGACTTAACTCCTACTGCTGTTATATTTTCAACATTTTCTTATTTGTTTTTGCAGAGTCAAATAAATAAAGACCATTTCATTATCTAAAAGTAATTAAATTTGCCTTAGTGAACACCTAAAAAGTGAAATAGCAGGCAGGTATTTGGCACAGTGATTAAGATGCCACTTGGCTCAGTAGGTTTGTCCTCTGCCTGCAGTGCTGGCAATCCATATGGACACCGGTTTGAGTCCCGGCTGCTCCGGTGGTCATTTGGGGAGTGAATCAGCGGATGGAAGACCTATCCCCACCCCCTAACTCTGCCTTTCAAATACAATACATAAATCTATTTTTAAAGATTTAGTTTATTTATTTGAAAGAGTTACAGAGAGAGGTAGAGACAGAGAGAGAGGTCTTCCATCTGATGATTCACTCCCCAGATAGCCGCAATGGCCAGAGCTGCGCTGATCTGAAGCCAGGAGCCAGGAGCTTCTTCCAGGTCTCCCATGTGGGTGCAGGGGCCCAAGGACTTGGTCCATCTTCCACTGCTTTCCCAGGCCATGGGAGAGAGCTGGATCAGAAGAGGAGCAGCCAGGACTAGAACTGGCACCCATATGGGTTGCTGGCGCTTCAGGCCAGGGTGTTAACCCACTGTGCCACAGCGCTGGCCCAAAATATATAAATCTTAAAAAAAAAGAAAAAATAGCACAAGTGTAAAGCAGCCATCAGCCAGACAATAGGAGAATGGGAGAAAGACCTTGAGTGCATCCCAGCAATCTTCAAGGCCACTCTTAAAATTCTAGGTCTGGAGGATTGGAAATGCCAAATTGGGTCTCGGACCCAGGGGGCTCTCTCTGAGAGTGCGCCTGAGACCGGAAGCTCTCTAGGGTTCAAGTGGACCCAATTGTGGCTTGTGCTAAAGGCCGGCCTTGGCGTGGTGCACACAGTGCCAGTTTTGCTGGTGTGCAGGATGCAAGGATTATGAGCCATCATGGCGGCTTCCACCAGGCTTTCCAGGGAAAGCCTGGTGGGGGTGGGAGTGGGGGTGGTGGGGGTGCAGGCAGAGTTGCGCTGCAGGGTTGGACTCCTGGCTTGGAGTTCCTGATCAGGTGATGCCTCACTGTGAGACCCCAGTGTTGCAACCTCTTAGGCCGCTGAGGCCGGATAGAACCCATTAGGTCACTGGGGTCTATGCAATTGGGTGCAGAGAGATAACCTAAAGGCTGCTGGGATGTTTATTGCTTGGACAAGCCCCCTGTAAGCTTCACCCAGGAGCCTTGCTGCAAGATCCCCACCCTCCCGCCTTCTCAGGGTCCATGTGGCGCTCTGTATCCCCCCACCCAGCAAGCAGCTTAAGAACGGGCTCTGAGTACTGCTTAGATGCAATGCCAGCTGGCTTCACACCCCCTGTCCGCTGTCCGCTGTCCGGGCAGGCCCAACCCCCACTCTCTTTACCCCCACCCCCAATTCTGTCCCTGATAAAGTCTTTTCTACTTTAACTAGCTACCTCCTGGCCTTCTCCAAGCCCCTAAAAATCCTAACACCTAGCAGTCAGGAGGGTAAGAGTGACAAGTGGCCCACCCTGGAAAGTCACAGAGATCTCTGTGCAGAGTCCCACAGAGCAGCCATTGTGGGCTGCAACCAGCAAAGCCTTGAGGTGGCCCCGGTGTACTCTGGGTGCTGTCCGTGGAGCTTTAGGATTTCCTGTTTGACCTCCTGGCTCTCGGTCTGACTTTGATCCGGTTCATTCTTTTTGTTGGCCTGTTACTTCCATCTGGACTAGAAATGTGTCTACGGTGCCTGTGTTACCCGTGCATCTGGGAATATGTAACTTGGATTCTTACAGGCTCACAGCGGCAATTTATCTTTTCTCTGATGAGACCACGGGCTTTTGGATTAATGCTAGACTGAATTAAGACGGAAGCCAGGGCCAGTGTTATGGTGCAGTGGGTTAAGCCGCCACTTGTAATGGACATATGAGCACCAATATGAGTCCCGGCTGCTCCACTTCTGGTCCAATTCCTTGCTAATGCACCTGGGAAGGCAGCAGAAGATGGGCCAAGTACTTGGGCCCCTGTCACCCTACATGGGAGACTCAGATGGAGTTCCAGGGGCCCCGGCTGTTGTAGCCATTTGAGGGAGTGAACCAGTGATGGAAGATCTCTTTCTCTCTTTGTCTCTCCCTCTCTCTCTCTCTTTCTGTAACTCTGCCTTTCAAATAAAAATAAATAAATTAAAAAAAAAAAGAAAAAGGCCTGGGGATGGAATGGTTGCTGTGTGTGAGAAGGACAGGAGTTTCAGGGACCAGGGGTGAGATGCCGTAGTTTGAATATGATTTGGTCCCTGAACTCATGCACACATTTAAACCCCAAAGTCATAAGTAAATGGTACTAAGAGGGTGGAGACTTAGACCTCCCATCTGGGCCTCTTCCAAGTTCATGTCCCCCACGTGGAAGAAGTCCAGGAGACAGAACGGTGCACAGGAAAGCACGGTTTACGGAAAGGGATGGCACACACTCAGACGCTCAGCCAACCTCTCTGCGTGAGCAAGGAAGAGCTGCTGTCCCCACCAGAGCTGGTGTCATCCCCTTACAGGGTAGGAGGTGGGGCCATAATGGAATATTTAAATGAGGCAGAATTTGGGCGGGGCTTCAGTGCTGCTCACTTCCTTGTCCCTTTTTTTGGGGATCTCTTCGTGGGGCTGCAGCCAGCGCGTGGTTGTCATGGTGATCACGCACGGTGGGAAGTGAGGCTCAGGTGCCTGGCGAGGGAGGTGGGTATCCAGCCTGCAGCCGTGCAGGGTTTGGGTGGCGAGAGGCGGCAGCGCGGATGCTGGGGGCAGTGGTCAGCGCCTCTTTGTTTCCTAGCTACCTACCCGCCTACGTCACAACTGCGGTGTTCAGGAGGTGGGCCTAGGTTACTGGGGTGGGGGTGCTCTCGGGAGGTAGCTCTCAAGAGAAGGGTGGCTGGGAAGAACGGAGTGGGGCTCAGCTTCTGTCTCTGCTTCCCGGCCCTCCACGTGGTCCCTCCTTTGCCCGCAGCCACAGTTCTTATCCACTGACCAATAAGGGCTGCTCGATCTTGAACTTGAACCTTGAAAACGGTGAGCCTTTTCTCTATATAGAATTTGTTTCCTTGGGTGTTTGTTTATAACACCAAGAAGCTGGCCAACACGAAGAGGGTTAGGGGCGTAGCGGGTAAAGCCACCACCTACAGTGCCGCCCCCCCATGTGAGCGCTGGTTCGAGACCCAGCTGCTCCACTTCCAATCCAGCTTTCTGCTATAGCCTGGGAAAGCAGTAGAGGATGGCCCAAGTCCTTGGGCCCCTGCACCTGCGTGGGAGACCCGGAGGAGGCTCCTGGCTCCTGGCTTCGGATCGGCACAGCTCCAGCCATTGTGGCCATCTGGGGAGTGAACCAGTGGATGGAGGACCTCTCTCTCTGCCTCTCTGCCTCTCTGCCTCTCCTTCTTTCTCTTTCAAATAAGCAAATAAATCTTAAAAAAAAAATGGTTAGGTTAGGCAAGATGAATAAATGACCTCTAAAGATCTACATAGCAAGGTAACTATGGTTAATAATAATGTATATTTGAAATTTGCTAAGCTAAGCGAGTCAAGCATTTTCATAACACAAGAAGCAAATGATAACCAGGTGAGGAAATAGATTTTAATGATCTTTATTGAGATGATCATATCACAGTGTAGTCATATATTGAAACATATAAGCTTTATATATATATGCTTTTTAATCTGCCAATTATACCTGAATGCTAAAAATACCCAAGCAGGGCCAGTGTTGTAGCACAGTGAGCTAAGCTGCTGCCAGCAACACTGGCTGCTGGTTCAAGCCTCGCGGTTCCCTTTCTGATCCAACTCACTACCAATGCACCTGGGAAGGCAGCAGAAGATGGTCTAAGTGCTTGTGCGTCTGCCACCCATGTGGGTGACCCGGATGAAGTTCCAGGCTCCTGGCTTTGGCCTGGACAAGCCCCAGGTATTACAGCCATTTGCGGGGGTGGAGCTGTGAACCTGCAGATGGAAGATCTCACTTTCCGTGTCACCCTGCCTTTCAAATAAATAAATCTTTTTTTTTTTTTTTGACAGGCAGAGTGGACAGTGAGAGAGAGAGACATAGAGAAAGGTCTTCCTTTGCCGTTGGTTCACCCTCCAAAGGCCGCCGCGGCTGGCGTGCTGTGGCCGGCGCACTCGCTGATCCGAAGGCAGGAGCCAGGTGCTTCTCCTGGTCTCCCATGGGGTGCAGGGCCCAAGCACTTGGGCCATCCTCCACTGCACTCCCTGGCCACAGCAGAGAGCTGGCCTGGAAGAGGGGCAACCGGGACAGAATCCGGCGCCTCGACAGGGACTAGAAGCCGGTGTGCAGGAGCCACAAGGCGGAGGATTAGCCTAGTGAGCCGCAGCGCCGGCTCAAATAAATAAATCTTACAAACAAAAACAAAACAACAAACCCAAGAGCCGGCAGGGTGGGGCTGCAGTGTTAGTGGCAGGGAGGAGCTCAACCATCTCCAGAGGCCGGCCCCCAAGAGCCATTCTGGCTGGCTGGGAGGCCGGGTCTTCTCGCTGCTGGGAGACAGCGGGTTCCCGTACTCAGTGCTTGGGCTTGCTCCAGAGAGCATCATGACTCTCCGGAACAAAAGCCCTTGTGTGGATTTTGGAGCAGAAATTAAATGGCTGCTCTCCACAGAGCTCACAGCTCTCCACGGACCCTTGTGCATCTCCGGTCTTGCAGGCATTGTTTTGTTAAGTGTTTGTGGCTTTGTACTGTTTTGGATTCTTTCCAGTCCTGAATATAGAGAAGGGATGAATCAGAATGAGGACTAGAAATCGATGACGAGATGCAAAATGGAAAGAAAAAAAAAAAAAACCCTCTGAGACAGTGTCCGTTAACATCCTGCACCTGTTTTGCAAGTGGCAGCTTTCCTGGAGAGCTCACTCCATGCTGTGAGGTCCTGCAGAAAAACACATTCACGTTCTATCCTGTGGACAGCACGCACGGGGAAGAGTGCCAACCCACAAATCATGAGCCGCCACCTTCTTCTTGTTTTTAAAGATTTATTTATTTACTTGTAAGTCAGAGTTACAGAGACAGAGAGAGATCTTCCATCCACTGGTTCACTCCCCAGATGGCTGCAATGGCCGGAGCTGGGCCAGGCTGAAGCCAGGAGCTTGGAACAACATCTGGGTCTCCCTCGTGGGTGCAGAGGCCCAGAACACTTGGGCCATCTTGTGTTGCTTTTTCCAGGTACATTAGCAGGGAGCTGGGTCAGAAGCAGAGCAGCAGGGACATGAACCAGGGCCCATATGGGATGCCAGCACTGCAGGAGGAGGCGTAACCTTCTTTGCCAAAGTGCCGGCCCTTGATGGCGTCTTCCCCCAGGTCCTGGATGAAGCAGATGCAAGCTGGAAAAAGGGGTTTTTGATTGGTAAATGAGAGGATGGAATTACACATGGGGTGGGGGTTAGTGACTTCCAGCTTAGCTGTCCTAAACTAGCTGCCTGTGGAGTCCACATCATTTTTGCCTCCCTTGTGGTGGGGCAGAAGCCCCCAAGCAGCTTTGTCTGGGTTCACGTTGGGCCTCTTGTGCATTCTTATTTGCAAGTGGGCTGAAGAACCTTAAATCGATATCAAAAAAGTCTTAAATTCAGTTTTTAATTATCAGTTCATATTCCTGTTACCATAACAACTGTGCCCTTTTAGACTTTACATACATAGGAAAAAACACTTTTTTTTTTTTTTTTAGATTGATTTATTTATTTGAAAGGCAGAGTTACAGGGCCAGCACCGCAGCTCACTAGGCTAATCCTCCGCCTGCGGCGCCGGCACTCCGGGTTCTAGTCCTGGTCGGGGCATTGAATTCTGTCCCGGTTGCTCCTCTTCCAGTCCAGCTCTCTGCTGTGGCCCAGGAGCGCAGTGGAGGATGGCCCAGGTCCTTGGGCCCTGCACCCACATGGGAGACCAGGAAGAAGCACCTGGCTCCTGGCTTCAGATCAGCACAGCTCCGGCTGTTCACTCCCCAGTTGGCCACAACGGGCGTAGCTGCACTGATCTGAAGCCAGGAGCCAGGAGCTTCCTCCAGGTCTCCCATGCAGCCTCAGGGACCCAAGAACTTGAGCCATCTTCTACTGCTTTCCCAGGCCATAGCAGAGAGCTGGATCAGAAGTGGAGCAGCCAGGACTCAACTGGCGCCCACATGGGATGCCGGCACTGCAGGCGGTGGCTTCACCTGTTATGCCACTGCGCCAGCCACTGCTTCTTAGTTTCCTAATTTATTATTCTGTGCTCAGAAGTTCTGATTGTTTCTTTTTTTTAAACTTTTATTTAATGAATATAAATTTCCAAAGTACAGAATATGGATTACAATGGCTTCCCCCCCATAATGTCCCTCCAACCCACAACCCTCCCCGTAACCACTCCCTCTCCCCTTCTATTCACATCAAGATTCATTTTCAATTCTCTTTATATACAGAAGATCAGTTTAGCATATATTAAGTACAGATTTCAACAGTTTGCTCCCACACAGAAACATAAAGTGAAAAATACTGTTTGAGTACTAGTTATAGCATTAAATCTCAATGTACAGCACACTAAGGACAAAGATCCTACATGAGGAATAAGTGCACAGTGACTCCTGTTGTTGACTTAACAAATTGACACTCCTGTTTATGGCATCAGTAATCACCCTAGGCTCTTGTCATGAGCTGCCAAGGCTATGGAAGCCCCCTGAGTTCACTGACTCTGATCATATTTACACAAGGCCATGGTCAAAGTGGAAGTTCTCTCCTCCCTTCAGAGAAAGGTACCTCCTTCTTTGATGACCCATTCTTTCCACTGGGATCTCACTCCTGATTGTTTCTTTACCTGGTCACGGTAGGGCCCTTTGTGCTCCTGCTGCAGATGTGCAGCGCCTGGGCTGCTGGCCCACTGGGTGCACAAGGAAAGACAAAAGAAGGAGAAAAAGTGAAATTTGCAATGCCTCAGTTATTGTTAGTTGTAGTAGCTAAAAGGTAAGTGAGACAAGGACGAGGCTTCCATTGTGGCCTTGTAGGAACTGCAGCCTCTTGTCTCTGGGTCCCCAGGTAGAGGGTGTGTTGGAGAAACCCTCACAGTGGGTAACTGTCCTGCTCTGGCCAACCTGAGGTACAGCCCTCGGCCTCAGAGCCCCTTTGCAAAGGGGAAAAAAAAAAGTGTGCTGAAGCCACGCACAGTGAGGAAGGCTAGCCTGAGCCCCCAGGGAATGAATGGTCTCCATAGTGCCCGATGACCTGCGGCAGGTCTGGTGCCTTGCACCTCTGGCCGCTCCGGTCTGCAGCTCAGACACAATTAAAACATCATGTGGCACGTGAGCACTTGACCTGTTAGCAAGTGAAGTTCGAAAACCTCAGGACAGAGATGTTTGGATTTCTTGAGATGGAAGGCTTGCCAAACGAGAGAGGGCTGACTGTGGAAAAGACTCCGAGACAAAATTTAGTAACAGAGAGTCTGGAGGAAGGATTGAGCTCAGGTGCACCAGGCGGGGAGGGGTGTGTTTGATGTGTTTGTCTTTGTCACTGAGCCCAGTGTCATAGCCAGCTCCGTGTTTATGTGTGGGATGGTTTCATAGTTACGATGATCTAGTCGTTTTACAGAATCATAAATCATCAACGCTGGATCTTATATTTATGTCTCATGCAAAATACTCATATTTAAAAAAATTACTTGTGTATTAGAAAGGCAGAGTTGGGGCCGGTGCTGGGGCATAGTGGGTAAAGCTTCAGCCTGCAGCGGCGCCGGTTAGAGACCTGGTTGCTCCACTTCCGATCCAGCTCTCTGCTATGGCCTGGGAAAGCAGTAGAAGATGCACCCGCATGGAAGACCTGGAAGAAGCTCCTGACTCCTGGCTTCGGATTGGCGCAGCTCTAGGCATTGTGGCCATTGGGGGAGTGAACCTGCAGGTGGAAGACCTCTCTCTCTGCCTCTGCCTCTCTGTAACTCTGCCTTTCAAATAAATAAATGACTCTTTAAAACAAACAAGCACCCATGGAGGCTGTGGCACTGATTTCCAGCATGGCTGCACACAGAGATCATGGGCCCAGCCCCTGAGAGCAAGTATAGAACAAGTGGGACAGCATAGAAGCTGGCAAAACTCAGTCAACCGACCAGAAAGTACAGCGCTCCAGGAGTCACTTGAATCCCTGCAGATCCCTCACTGGCTGCAGTGGTCGGGCCGACCTGTTCCCCGGCTGAGCATGCGCTCATACGGCAACATGACGCACATAGGAACCACTCTTTAAGACTGCATTGCCTTGGCCGGTGCCGCGGCTCACTAGGCTAATCCTCCGCCTGTGGCACCAGCACCCTGGGTTCTGTCCTGGTTGCTCCTCTTCCAGGCCAGCTCTCTGCTGTGGCCCGGGAGTGCAGTGGAGGATGGCCCAAGTGCTTGGGCCCTGCACCCCATGGGAGACCAGAAGGAAGCACCTGGCTCCTGGCTTCAGATCAGTGCAGCGTGCCAGCCCTAGCGGCCATTTGGGGGGGGTGAACCAACGGAAGGAAGACCTTTGTCTCTGACTGCAATGAGTTATTTGAGCTAAGGATAGGTGTTTCATGCATCTATTCTTCTGAGCAACCACCATTGAAATTAAGGCTGTGTCTTACAAAATTTCTTCATCATTTATTCGTGGTAGGTTGTACAGTCTAGAACTTATATTCTTGTATTCATGTCTAAGTCATTCACTCTGTTGGTGTATAATTATTCATCATGGTCTTCTCTCGTTTTCTATTTCTGCTGTATCTGTTGTTACGTCTTCCTTTTTATTTGGTTGGGTCTTCTCTCTCTTTTTTAGTCTGATGCTTTGTAGATTCTGTTTACTTTTTCTTTTCTTTTTTTAAAAGATGTATTTATTTATTTGAAAGGCAAAGTTACACAGAGAGAGGAGAGGTAGAGAGAGAGAGAGAGAGAGAGGTCTTCCATCCAATGGTTCACTCCCCAATTGGCTACAACGGCAGGAGCTGCGCTGATCCGAAACCAGGAGCCAGGAGCTTCTTCCAGGTCTGCCTCAGGGGTGCAGGGAAGGGCCCAAGGACGTGGGTCATCTTCTACTGCTTTCCCAGGCCATAGCAGAGAGCTGGATAGGAAGTAGAGCAGCTGGGTCTCGAACCGGCCGCCATATGGGATGCTGGTGCTTCAGGCCAGGGTGTTAACCTGCTCCACCACAGTGCCAGTCCCTCTGTTTACTTTTTCAAAAAACAGCTCTCAGGGGCCAGCACTGTGGTATAATAGGTAAAGCCAATGCTTTCAGTGCTGGCATCCAATGTGGGCACTGGTTTGAGTCCCAGCTGCTCCTCTTTCGATCCAGCTCCCTGGTAATGTGTGTGGGGAAGCAATGGAAGATGGCCAAGTTATTGGCCCCTTGCACCTGCATGGGAGACCCAGAAGAAGCTCCTGGCTCCTGGCTTCGGACTGGTTCAGCTCCAGCCTTTGCAGCCATTTGGGGAGAGAACCAGCAGATGGAAGACCTTTCTCTCTGTCTCTGTCTCTGTCTCTCTCTCTCTCTCTGCCTCTGCCTCTCTGTAACTCTGCCTTCCAAATAACTATTTTTTTTAAACCAGCTCTTAGTTTTGTAGGCCTCTTCTATTGTTTTCTAGTATATTTCATTTTTGAATATTTCTTCTTTGATTTTTATTATCATTCTTCCCCCCCTTAATAAGTTCGGGCTTTGTTCTTATTTTTTCTAGATCCTTGAGAGGTCATGTTAGGTTGTTACTTGAGATCTTTCTCATTCATTTATTTGTTTTTTAAAAGATTTTTGGGGACCAGCGTTGTGGCATAGTTGGTAAAGCTGCTGCCTGCAATGCTGGCATCCCATATGGGCACCAATTTGAGTCCTGGCTGCTCCACTTCCATTCCAGCTCCCTGCTAATGGTCTGGGAAAGCAGAAGATGGTTCAGGTCCTTGGGCCCCTGCTCCAATGTGAGAGACACAGAGGAACCTCCTGGCTCTTGGCTTTGGCCTGGCTTACCCCTGGTTGTTGCATTCATTTTGGGAGTGAACCAGAGGACAGAAGATTTCTCTCAGGACTGGTGCTGTGGCGGAGTGGGTAAAGCTGCCACCTACAGTGCTGGCATCCCATGTGGGTGCCGGTTCAAGTCCTGGCTGCTCCAGTTCCAATTCAGCTCTCTGCTGTGGCCTGGGAAAGCAGTGGAAGATGGCCCAAGTCCTTGGGCCCCTGCACCTGCGTGGGAGACCCAGAAGAAGCTCCTGGCTCCTGGCTTCGGATCAGTGCAGCTCTGGCTGTTGCGGCCATCTGGGGAGTGAATCAGTGGATGGAGGACCTCTCTCTCTCTCTCTCTCTCTCTCTCTTCCTCTCTCTCCATGCCTCTTTGTAACTCTGCCTTTCAAATAAATAAATAAATATTTTAAAAAAAGAGATCCATGTGCCCACGGTGATGCCGGTGTTGCAGGCAGTGGCTTAACCAACTGTGCCAAAAAGCCGGCCACCACTTCCGTCCTTTTTGATCTATGCCTTTGTTGGTGTAAATTTCCCTCCAAGAGTTGCTGTTGCTGCATCCCACAAGTTTTGGTGTGGGGCTAAGGGAACTGGGTGCATTCGCGCCCAAGAGCTGTGACGTCCCAGGTAGTCTCCTGAGTGGCTGGGGCTGTGGCAGGCAGCAGAGGGAGGGTGGGCCTGGGAGCACAGAGTGGGAGTGCTGCTTCCCTTGTGAGTCCTCACTTCGGAGCAGGACTCTAAGCAGAGCTGGGAGGAGACCACACTCTGAGTTCTCTGAGGCTGGAAACCAGCTCTGCCCACAACCCACCCATGGAGAGACTTTCTGGGCTGCACCCGGGCTTGGAGGCTCCAAACATGAGATTTAAGAATGTTGTAGATCTTCACATCACTGTTAGAAGGTAGGGCTTTCAAAATATTAGAATCTATGGGAATAAAGCTTAATGACAGGATTTACTTTAGCAAACAGTAATTACATGGTATGACTGTATCTTTTTATTTATTTTTAAGATGTTTGTTTATTTGAAAGGCAGAGTTACAGAGAGATATGGAGAGAGAGAGAGAGAGAGAGAGAGAGAGAGATCTTCCACCTGCTGGTTCACTCCCCAAATGGCTGCAGCAACTGGGAGTGCATCAGGCTGAAGTGGGGAACCTGACATCCCTCCAGCTCTCTCCCAAGCACCTGGGCCAGCTCCTGCTGCTTTCCCAGGTGCCTCAGCAGACAGCTGGGTTGCCAAGTGGAGCAGCTGGGACTCGAATTGGCACTTACGTGGGATGCTGCCATCAGAGGTGGGAACCAACTTGTGTCATAACCCTGGCTCTGGTATGTCTCTCTCTCTCTCTCTCTCTCTCTCTATATATATATATATATATATATTTTAGATTTTGAGAGTTTGAGTGTGGGGGGAGAGAAATTTTCCACCCCCTGGTTCACTCTACATGGTCACAACCAACTAGCACTGGGGCAGGCTGAAGTCAGGAGCCAAGAGCTTCATTCTGGGTCTCCCATGTAGGTAGTGGGGCCCAAGCATTAGCTTTGAGGACAGAGTAATGCAATTCACCATCCACTTTTTTATCCCACCAATCTCAGAGGTTGAGATAGCAACTCAACCCGTTGAAATTTAAATTTTCAGTGTCACTTCTCTTAGTATGAAAGAAGCCCCTTTTCATTTGTTTAAAAGTGACTTTTTTTTTTTTATTGTTTCGACAGGCAGAGTGGACAGTGAGAGAGAGAGACAGAGAGAAAGGTCTTCCTTTGCCGTTGGTTCACCCTCCAATGGCCACCGCGCTGATCCGATGGCAGGAGCCAGGTACTTATCCCAATCACTGCACTCCCAGGCCACAGCAGAGAGCTTGCCTGGAAGAGGGGCAACCGGCGCCGGCCTAAAAGTGACTTTTTTTTTTTTTTTAACCTGCTTACACAACGGTGGGGGAGGGGATGGCGCAGGTGAGCGGGTAAGCCCGCTAGGGTCAGGGAACTTTTTAGTGAAATAAGGCTCCAACTTGTTGCTTGTGACCCCCATCACTTAGAAAATGACACCTTGGGAGCCGAATGTGACCCCGACGTGACTTGAACACGCAACCTTCTGATCTGGAGTCAGACGCGCTACCATTGCGCCACGAGGTCATCCATGGGGACAATGCTGACTTCTGATGCTTTAAATCTCTTTCATTCTGCACCCTGGCCGCTTCCTTCTGGTTTGTTTTTTTTTTTTTTTTTTTTTTTTTTTTTTTTTTTTGTGATGCATTGTAGATCAAACGGGAAAGAGCTCGCTTCTGCTCCGCTGCGCAGCTGCAGGGCCGGGCGGCTGAGTCTCTGCAGCCCCAGAGCCTCCCAGGCTGCTGGCGCCCGCGGCTCAGAGCCTGCGCCGAGGTCGGGAGCCGCGGCCCCCGCGAGGCCGGGCGGCGGCTGCGGCATCCGCAACGCGGTCAGCGCTCAGCAGCTAGGGCCGGGGTTCCCGCGTGCTGCCCGGGGCTCCGGTCCCCAGCGTTCGGATGGAGTGGCCAGAAAGACCCCGCGGCCACACTCAGGAAGTGACTTTGTCACTGGGCGGTAAGCACAGGTGCCAAACTAAGGCCCATTTTTGAACATTTGGGCGTTATGGAAAAGTTGTAAAAAATGCAAAGCAATGCCCCCATCCCCCGCTGGCACCCTAAGGGGTGGGTCCACCGCAGTGCCCGCCCCTGGGTTAGTGCTTTCCATCCCCTAGCCCTCATTTGTATTCCAGTTGGCTTGTTTCTTAACACACACACGCCGATGGGATTATAGAAAAGCCTCTGCCACTGTCCCACCATCTCAATGACCCCCGTTTCCCCTACCTTCCGCCCACTTGCCAACCACCCCTGTAAATAATCTCTTCGCTGGCTGATCATTCCTGCATTTTTCTGCACACCCGGGCCCATAAATACCCTTTTGCACTTAAATTTTGCGCTCTTTCTTGCCACTTTATCCTGGAAAACCCATCCCTGACAGCTCACGGCACTCTTCCTTGATTTTTTTTTTTTTTTTACAGCTAGGTTAGAATACTTTGCCACATAGCTTATTCAACTACTTTCCTCTGGTTTTTGCGTGTTACCAGGATTTGTGTTACTGCACTTCTCAGTACTCCATTCTCTTTTGTTGGGGAATACAATTCCATTGTGTGGCAATACTATATTTCACTTATTCATTCACTAGTTTGGGTTGCTCCCATGTTTTGGCTATGCACAATGGTGCCCTGAACATTCCCACACATTAGCTGACTGACAGATGTGCCACAGATCTTTAGCTGACTTCTAAACAGTGTGATGGTGACAAAGGATGAACATAAATTCCAGCGACTCCCCAAGGTTGCAAAGGCAGAGATTCTGTCTCAGGATTGAGCTGAGCCAAGTCAGAGGAGCTTAGTAAACACCTCGGAGCTTCCATTGGCTCCCAGGAGGACCATGCGTTAGGATCGAGGGCAAAACTGAAGCAAAGTCCAAAGCTGACCATCAATGGGATTGGGGTGACCCACTAGAATACTGCTGAAATAAAGCTTAGCCCACTTTGGTGGAAAATAAATTAGGGCTCCCTACAATGGTCTCATCTATACTTTCTGGTATCAAATGAAATAATGGTATACTAAGCTGATCTTCTGTATATTAAGATAATCGAAAATGAATCTTGATGTGAATGGAAGGGGAGAGGGAGTGGGAAAGGGGAGGGTTGTGGGTGGGAGGGACGGTATGGGGGGGGGGAGCCATTGTAACCCATGAGTCGTACTTTGGAAATTTATATTCATTAAATAAAAGATAAAAAAAAATGAAATAATGGAAGGTATGCGGAGAAGCAAAAAGTTCATGTGACCAGACAGCAGGAAATAGGAATAAACCCAGAAGTGAAGAAGCTACTGCAGTTAAGAGCCAAGGACGTAGCACTACAACAACCAGCAAGACAGAGCAAAGTACGGAGGGTTTCAGCAGATAACTAGAATCCAAATAAGATGAAAGTTTCAGAAATAAACTGATGAAAATTAAAGACAGGTCTAATAGATTAAAAGCAAGTACAACGGATGTTAGAAGACGGAAATACAGGTGAGCAAAAGGTATCCACTTTGATGCACAGAAAGATAAAAAAATGGGAAATACTGCAAACGACGAGACATTTGGAACTCAGTGAAGAGTTCTAGCCCATCTATAATTGGAATTGGAATGAAGGGGAGAGAGGGAATGGGACATATGCAATATTTGAAGAAAGCCGGCTGAGAATTTTCCCACACTGATGAAAGATGTCACGGGACTGTCTCAAGCTCTACAAATTTCAACTATGATTTAAAAACAAAGTCCACAACCAGAGATACTGTAGTGAAACATATGGAAACAAGGGCAAAGAGAAACTAGTAAGTAGCTAGAGAAAAATGAAAACAAGAAACTCATAACTATTTAAAATGGTATCCTCCCCCAGTTACAATTTTAATTTATTTGAAAGGGAGAGAGAGAGAGAGAGAGAGAGAGAGAGAGAGAGAGATTGTTGAAAGGCATGGTGACATAGACAGACACACATAATCTTTGATCTGATCTTCTACTCCCCAAATGCCTGCAGCAGCTGGGAGACCAAATCCAGGAGCCAGGAGCTTGTTCCGGGTCCCCCAAGCAGGTGCAGGTGCCCAAGGACTTAGGCCATCTTCTACTGCTTTCCTAGGCCATAGCAGAGAACTAGATCAGAAGTGGAGCAGCCAGGACTTGAACGAACGTCCATAAGGGACGCCGCCACCACAGGCCGAGGCTTCACCTGCTACGCCACAGCGCTGGCCCTGGTATTCGAAATTAAAATGATAAAAGTTAACAATATTTAATGAAAAAATAATCCAAAACATGATATTGGAAAATGTTATTTTAATACAAATATTTTTAAGACAAAAATTAGATGCAAAGAGTGGCAGTGTTTTCCATTCTGGCACGTCTCTTTAACGTCTTAGTTTGCAGGGCTGTGGTAATAAAACACTGCAGACTGGATGGCTTACAGGATAGAAATCTGTTTTCTCACAATTCTGGACGTTGGATGGAGGTCCAACATCAAAATGCCTGAAGGGCTGGCTTCTCCTGAGGTCCTTCTCCTTGGGTTGCTGAGAGCTTCTCTCTTGTCTCGCCCTGTTCCAATGTCCCCTTCTTATTAGGAAAGCGTTTGGATTGGAGTAGGGCCGATCCTGAGGCTCTCATCTTCAATTAATAACATCTTTCAGGATTCTATTTCCAGACACAGTCACATTCTGAGATGCTGGGTGTTAGGGCTTCTATACAGGAGTTTTGGCAGGGGTGGTGGGTAGAGGGGCTGGGTACTGTTAAGTTTGTAACAGTTAAGATAGGTGAATTAGCATATTTCCTCTGCACTAAATCTTCTGCAGTATCACATGTCATGTAGTTTCTGGAAAACCTCACTGTTCATTCAAGAGAACAAGAGTGAAAAAGGTAAATAATGTCTCCGAGTTATTATGAAAGTAGTTTTTAGAACCACTGCTCTAAATAATTAGTGAGTGCATATTACATCGAATAGAGAAAAAAAATGAGATAATGAAAAACTTCTGGTTAATGTACAGAAAAACAAGAAAGGGGAAATAAAGGAAGAAATGGATTAAATAACAAAATGAGAAATTTAAATCTAACTGTACTAGCAATGACATTAAATGTAAATGGATTAAACACTCTGATTAACAAAGATCATTAGACAAGATAAAAATGATGCCTACATATATACTGCTTACAAAAGATTTGCTTTAAGAAGAGATTAGCTGAAAGTAAAAGAATGCAAAAAAGATACACCATGTGCAATGTTTTCTATTGCTGTGTAACACCAACCTTGTATTAGCTCACAGCTGTGTAGGTCAGAAATCCGAGCATGCGCTGTCTGGGTCTCAAGTCTGAAATCAAGGGGTCAACTGGATTGTGTTCCACCTGGGGACTTGGGAAGAAGCCACGTGCAAACTCGTCAACTTGGGAGCAGAGCTAAGTGCCCGTTTCTTTGCTGGCTGTTGTCCACACACTGCTCTGTCATCAAAGTTTGCCTACACTCCTTGAGACATAGCCCGGCCATCTTCAAAGTCAGCCACAAAGCTGATGTCTCACCCTGATTCTGCATGGTATGAAACCTTTCTCACCAGCAGAGCACCACATTTCTCACCTGGTTATGTCACACCCACTGAGGGCCATTTCCCTTGGGGTTAGTTGACTTAGAACCTTAATTAAAATTAATTTTAAATGAATTAAACTTGTAAAATCCCTTCACAAAAGCACCTAGTTTTTAGTGTTTGAAAGCTGGGAACTGCATGCACACCAGGAGCTGTGAATTTGGGGGCCATTGTAGAATTCTGCCTACCATACCACACAAATACTAACCAAAGGAAAATTGCCTCAATTATATTAGGATCGGAAAAAAAAACAAAAAAAAGAAACAAAAAAAAAAAAAACCTGATTGTAAAAAAAGAAATTAGACAGCCAGAGGAGGCTATTTAATATTGACAAAAGTATCAGCTCAACTGGAGGATGTAAGAATCCTAAATTTGTATGCACTGAATATAGCTTGATAGTGGTGGTGGTTCTACGTTTGTGAAAGCCCATTAGGTGCTCACTTCGACAGCACATAGACTAACACTGGAATGAGACACAGAAGATTAGCATGGTTGCTGCACAGGATGACATGCAAATTCGTGCGTTGTTCCATTAAAAAAATCATCAAAATGTAAGGTGATAGGGGCCACGGGTTAATGCCCTGGCCTGAAACATCGCCATCCCATATGGGCGCCAGTTCTAGTCCCAGCTGCTCCTCTTCCAATCTAGCTCTCTACTATGGCCTGGGAAAGCAGTAGAAGATGGCCAAAGTCCTTGGACCCCTGCACCCATGTGGCAGACCCAGAGGAAGTTACTGGCTCCTGGCTTCTGATCAGCGCAGCTCCAGCCATTGTGGCCATTTGGGGAGTGAACCATCGAACAGAAGACCTCTCTCTCTGCCTCTCACTGTGCAACTCTTTCAAATAAATAAATAAATCTTTAAAAAAAAAAAAGTAAGGTTAAATCAGAAGCAACTTGTTCCATGTATATTATGCCTCAATAAAAATGATAAAATAAAAACCTATTGGATGCAGATAAATAGGTACTCATGAAGAAATGCATAAATACAAATATTAGCAAAAAAAGAAATGATAAAAATCAACAATCGAAGATCTCACTCAAAGAATCTACAAAAGGAAGTGAATCATATCTAAAGAGAATACATAGGAGGTAATAATATGAAAACTAGCTAATAGTTGGCCGGCGCCGTGGCTCAATAGGCTAATCCTCCACCTTGCGGCGCCGGCACACCGGGTTCTAGTCCCGGTCAGGGCGCCGGATTCTGTCCCGGTTGCCCCTCTTCCAGGCCAGCTCTCTGCTGTGGCCAGGGAGTGCAGTGGAGGATGGCCCAGGTGCTTGGGCCCTGCACCCCATGGGAGACCAGGAAAAGCACCTGGATCCTGGCTCCTGCCATCGGATCAGCGCGGTGCGCCGGCTGCAGCGGCGGCCATTGGAGGGTGAACCAACGGCAAAGGAAGACCTTTCTCTCTCTGTCTCTCTCTCTCACTGTCCACTCTGCCTGTCAAAAAAAAAAAAAAAAAAGCTAATAGTTGAGACTTTTTTTAAAACATTGAGGTATTAAATCCCTAGATAGCCTGATCAAGAAAACTTTAAATAAAGAGAGCACACAGTTACCAATATGGGGACTGAAAAGGGGGTCTTCACTTTAAACTGTACAGATATGTGATAAGAAGATATTATGAATTATTGAAAGTCAAAAATTAGGTAATTGTGGTGAAATGATATGGACAAGTTATCAACAAAAATTCCTTTCCAAAATTTACATGAGATAGAAAATTTGAATCATCCTATATCAAATTAATAATTAATATCAAGTTAATAGAATCCATAATTGAAAACTTTCTTCAAAGAAAACTAGCCCAAGAAAGCTTCATTGGTGATTTTTATGGAAAATACATATGGCAAAAGTAACAGCAATACCAGTGATGCCACTCTTGTACACTCTTCCAAAGGACTGAAAACAAATAACACACATACCCCACCCTGGAAAAAAAACAAAATGAAAAGGAAGTGTCTTCCATCTGCTGGTTCACTCCCCAAATGACCACAGTGACTGGGGCTGGATCAGGTTACACCCAGGAGCCCAGGATCATCTGGGTCTCCCAAGCAGATACTGGGGCCCAAAGACTTGGGCCATCTCCGACTACTTTCCTCGGCCACAGCAGAGAGCTGGATTGGAAGTGGAGCAGCCAGGTCTGAAACCAGAGCCCATATGGGATGCCGACACTGCAGGAGGCGGCTTCATTTGCCACAGCACACTTTTTTTTTTTTTTTTTAAAGATTGATTTATTTATTTGAAAGTCAGAGTTACAGAGAGGAAAGGCAGAGAGAGAGAGAGAGAGAGAGAGAGAGAGAGAGAGAGAGACACTTCTATCCTCTGGTTCACTCCCCAGTTGGCCACAATGGCCAGAACTGTGCCCATCCGAAGCCAGGAGCCAAGAGCTTCTTCTGGGTCTCCCACGTGGGTGCAGGAGCCCAAGGACCTGGGCCATCTTCTACTGCTTTCCCAGGCCATAGCAGAGAGCTGGATCAGAAGAGGAGCAGCCAGGACTAGAACTGGTGCCCATATGGGATGCTGGCGCTTCAGGCCAGGGTATTAACCCACTGCGCCACAGAGCCGGCCCCTGGAACTACTTTTTTGAGACTGTAGTCTTCTGGTCTACAGCCTGTACACAAGTTCCAGATATTTTTGGGCATGTCTTTCGTTTGAACTTTTCCTCCAAATGAAATTCAGGGAGTGGAAGGAATGAAGTACTGGGTAAGTTTTTGGAAGTCTACCCAACATTAGAACCAATTCTCATGCTTTCAGACCCTAGAGTACCCTCCCCTCACCAATGTATAAGCAACACCTATAGGAGTTCCTGGCACATAGTAGGTGTCAAATAAATTTGCTTCACAAGAAAGATGTTTCTCATTTTTATGTAAATAATTACTAATTATGTAAATAATTACTAATTATGTAAATAATTACGTAAATAATTACTAATTGTAAAGAAAAACTTACACGCACAGAAAAGTCAAACAAAAAGCACCTGATAGTTCACCAACCCTGAAACAACCATCATTAAGTTTCCAGAGACTACTTCATTTTTCTCTTCAAAGGTCACATAAATATAGAATATTACATACAGTTTTATATACCATATGCTACATTTGCATGTTTCTATTTTTCCAGTCTTCCCCTCTTCCCTTCTCCCCACATCTCTTCTCCCTCAAGGTAACCAGTATTGATATCTGGTGTATAGTCTTCCATTCCTCTCTCCACGCACATCCAATCATATATACACAGAAGTACATAATACATGGTGTGATCATTAACAAAGACAAAACCTTGTGTATATACATTCCTGCTATAAAGTAATCATTTACTACAACATTGTGGAACTATCATGAAGTTCTCCCATACAGACAGAACCCTCATGCGACTTCAAAATAAGGATTTATCACAATTTATCTAGTAATGAGTGCTTACTGTTTCCAAATGGGGCTTTTCTCCCTCTCCCTCTAAACAATACTTCAGCAAACACTTTTATTTGTATTCTTATGCATTGATATTATTATTTCCATGAGAAAAAATTTCCAAAATTACATCTTCTAGGTCAAAGGATAAATGCATGTATTTTATTTTATTTATTTATTTTTTGACAGGCAGAGTGGACAGTGAGAGAGAGAGACAGAGAGAAAGGTCTTCCTTTGCCGTTGGTTCACCCTCCAATGGCTGTCGCGGCCGGCGCACCGTGCTGATCCGATGGCAGGAGCCAGGTACTTATCCTGGTCTCCCATGGGGTGCAGGGCCCAAGCACCTGGGCCATCCTCCACTGCACTCCCTGGCCACAGAAGAGAGCTGGCCTGGAAGAGGGGCAACCGGGACAGAATCCGGCGCCCCGACCGGGACTAGAACCCGGTGTGCCGGCGCCACAAGGCAGAGAATTAGCGTAGTGAGCCGTGGCGCCGGCCTGCATATATTTTAAATAGTATGCATTGCTGGACTGCTGGTACAAATACAAGCTAGAACACTTTTAGATAAGAATACATGGTTATTTGTATGGGCTGCTCCCTTAATTTTATGAAAACATCTTAGGGGCTGATGCTGTGGTGCACTAGGTTACTCCTCTTCCTGTGGTGCTGCTCCAACTCCAATGCAGCTCTCTGCTGTGGCCTGGGAAAGCAGTGGAAGATGGCCCAAGTCCTTGGGCTCCCGCACCCACATGGGAGACCCAAAAGAAGCTCCTGGCTCCTGATCGGCTCAGCTCCGGCCACTGTGACCATTTGGGGAGTGAACCAGTGGATGGAAGACCTCTCTGTGTGTGTCTATTTCTCTCTGTAACTCTTTCAAATAAATAAATAAAAAAAACCCCACAAACACTTTGACATTTAAATATGCCATCTCCCAAAATAAACCAAAGTTCCTCACAAACAAGCAAAAAAAATATACACATGTCCCCCAAGCCCCATTAGCAACAGATTTCTTAATTTTTTCCATCTCCATGAGTGGAAGCTTGATCTCATTGGTAGTTTAGTCTGTGTTTCCCTGAGTACTACTTAGGTTCAAATCTTCTCACAGGTTAATGGCCATTTGGAGTAGCTCTTCCATGAACAGCTCTCCTAGTCTAGGTGGATTAAAGATTTAAATGTAAAAAAGAAAAAAATCAAACTTAGAACTATGTATAACCTAGGAATCAAGGAGATCCTTTTTAAATAAAAGTGAATCAATAAATCTAAAAAGGAAGAGATGAATTTTATTATTAAAAATTAAATGTGACTTCATTGACAGGTATAAAGACAAATGCTAGATTAAGAAGAAAGATTTGCTACACATAAGATTAATCTCAAAAATACACAGAGTACTCCCAGTCTTATAGGAAAGGCAGATAAACCAAGAGAAAAAAAAGTCAAATGCACGTACAGGCAACTGAAGGTATCTGTTGGATGAGAAAATGATGAAATTAGAATGAAGGTTTTCATTTGTCCATTATTTTCCTCTAGTGTGAATTTTCTCAAAGTTTCTAAAATTTAGTATGGTTAAATGCCTCTCCACAATTCAATGTATTTATAGAGTGTCTCTCCAGTATTTTCTGGTGAATTCCTCAGGTTCCTTTGTGGAGTTGGCATCTGACTAAATGACTTATTGTCTTCTACATTAAGTGAATTTCTCTCTGATGTATCCTTTGATGGACGGTGAGGCTTGAGCTGCTCCGGAAAGCTTTTCCGCACTCGTTGCATTTGTAGGGTTTTTCTCCAGTGTGCATCCTCAGGTGTACGGTGAAGTCCGAGTTAGTTCTGAAGGCTTTCCCACATTCTTCACATTTATAGGGCCTCTCCCCAGTGTGAATTCTCTGGTGCAGAGTTAGCTGTGACAGAGTAATACAACCTTTCCCGCAGTCCTTACAGGTGTAGGGTTTTTCTCCAGTGTGTGTTCTCCAGTGCACTGTAAGGTAGGAACCCCTCCTGAAGGCTTTTCCACAGACATCACACTTATAGGGCTTCTCCCCACTGTGGATTTTCTGATGTTCTGTGACATGCACCATCTGGCTAAATGCTTTCCCACAGTCATTACATTTAAATGGCTTCTCTCCAGTATGTGTTCTTTGATGGGTA